ATCATGCACTGAGTTCACTTATAGGTACTCATATGGAATTTTAATCAGACTCATTGCCTGTTCTTGGGTGAAGAACAGGTGTGTTGGGGTTTGGGGGGTGCTGCAGAGGTGGGTATAAAAGCCTCCTGTGCACCTGTGTTGACCGGCGCATCATAGGTGCTTCATGGAGACTCCCCATGCTGGCCAGTGAGGAAACAAGACTACTCAAATTTGATGACTCACCTTCCTTAGCAGGCACATGTGAACAGAGAACTCCCTCTGTTCTCTGGGTTCTGCTGTGCACTGGGTTACTGGCTACGTGTTTCCTTTCACCTAACTGCCTTCAGTGCTGGCTTTTCAAAGTTCTTTCTTGATCTGTTGATTTCTTCCTTTTGGCAAAAGACCTCAATGTGTGGCGCACAGATCCGGGCTCCATCTTCGACATTGACCCCCTGGAGGACAATGTTCAGTCTAGAAGTCTGCGTGTGCTCTCTGGTATTGTTTTCATTCCTTTGTCTCCTTGACTTTTGTCCTGAAAGTGAAGTTACTTTCATAAAAAGCATCATGAGCTTTTATGATGGCAGTCATGCCATGTAAATTTAAAGTTGAGAATTAAAAAAACCCAAGAAGTTATCATGTCCATTTAAAATAATGTATGTTCTTTACAAACACAAAACTTGCAAAAGAATTTGAAAATAAATCCTACATGAATTTGTCTTGGATTCATTTAAAATGGTGTCTAGAGCTTCCTTACATTTTCTTGTTATTGGTAAATATGCTTTTATAGGCTTTCATGGATTACAAATATGGTTATTTGGGTTGCATAGAGTCTCTGAAACAGAAAGGAGATTTATTTAATCAAATATTTATAGAACAGTGGAAAGGATTTCTAACATACATGTTTTAAAATAAACTTTGAGGTATTTTCTATCATACATGTCTTAAACTTTTAATATTTATCTCTGCATATTTTTAAAGGTTCATTTTATTTTTAACTATGCTGTGTGGTGTTTATGTGAGGGTATGTGCATGTGAGTGCAGGTGCCTAAAGGGGCAGGAAGAGGAAGTCGGATCCTCTAAAGCTCAAGTTGCAGGTGGTTGTGAGCCACCAGACACAGGTGCTGGGAACTGAACTTGGATCCTCTGGAGGAGCAGCACATACTCTTACCTGCTAAACCAGCTCTCCAGCTCCTTTTCTAAGTTTCTATACAATGTAAAATGAGTAGCTCCCACAAGAAGTGTATTTGGCTCTTAGCTTAGATAGCATGTATGTAACTAAAATTGAAAAAGAAGAAAACAGGAAAAATTGAACAATTTGGCCTAGTAATAGCATGATTTGACATTTAGACATGTAAGTCATGCTTGGCAAATATAATCTGAAAATTATGAAGTTGAAAATTATAAAGACTGTAAATATATTGCGAGACTCTTACTCCACCCTCTGGTTTTTACTCTTTATTTAATTTTCCATGCTAATAAAATTGAATCCGTGATGCAAAATGGGGGCTCCGATAGTTCTATAGTTATTTGATCTATAGCCTTAGCCTTTCTGCCTCATTTAACTTTCTAAAATTAGAGGAGAGGCAGCAAATACTTAGGGATACTTGAAAGCAAATATTGATACCTAGATACTATGTTTAATAGGAATACTTCACTTGGCAAACATTTTCCTAGTTCTTGTCCACCTGCTATCCCTTATTTTGTCTTTAAAATCCAGACTTAAAATGAGAATAAATTCCTTTTAGCTCCTTTATGTAGGTGACGCAGTGTGTGCTAAGTCTGGAAATGGTTGGTTAGAATCTTATAGTAGCAAAAATTAGCCATTATTATTTAATAAGTAATCTTTTCTTCTTCCCTGTAAAACTTTTAAAGGAATGTTGCTGTTGTCTAAGTCATTCCTTCATGTGTCTGAACATTCTCCCTCTGATGTAGAAAAGGCAAGTCAGTACAGGAGACACCGGCCTCGCTCACACTCCGACAGCACTTTTGGTACAGGTCTGGGAGATGAGAAGTCAGAGATCTCCGAGCTCTACCCTAGCTTTTCATGCTGCAGTGAGATCACAAGGCCATCTGACGAAGGAGGTATCAAACGGCAGCCACTGAGAGTTGACACACTTTTTAGAAGTGCTACCACAGTGTCTTTCGCGGAGTAGTCACCTTTGCACAAACATACAGCCTTAGTTTTAATCCGAAGTTTGGAAAGTTAAGTCCACTGCTTAAAACTACTAATTTGAATTTTGCATGCTTTTTCTGTCCTTCTTTCTTATTTTCACTATTATCTGCATAAATGGCTCCATAACAAGAGAATGGGCCTGGGATTTGCTTCACAAGTGCATGACAGGAATGTGTGTCACGGATCTGCACAGTCTCAGTAGACACCAGAGTTCTGTGTAGCTTCTGTCTGATTTCCATTAAGGGAAGAAAATCAATCTTACAGTAATGTTTGAGTGGCTAAAAGGTTGCTATGAATTGGTGTGTATTTAAATACATATTTTTTTTTGAGTGTGCCAAAAAGAAATGGAATACAATACCTGGGAGATTCTTCTTTTAAGTGAAAAATGCTGTTGATGTTATTAATCTCTTCTTTATTGTGTACCCCCACTCACTTTTTTGTGTGATTTTGCTTTTCTTCATCCAAGCTAGTGGTTTGGATCTAGACCTTTCGGTGACTTTCATTAGGATTTTAAACAGATACTGCTGGTTAAGCTGTTATTAAAGGCAGGACTCAGTGCACTGCGAGGGCAAAAGGCCATCATGACTTCCATGAGTTTCCTTTTCTAAGGTAGGGTTGCTGAAGTCCTCAGGAAGGAGAGCTTGATGTTGAACAGTTTAACACCTGGGGTAAAGAGGTAACCTTCCTGAGGACAAGGGAACAGGAAAGCTCCTGTAATCAAGTCGTCAATTTCTGCACTCACTACAAAAACACACTAACAGCATAAAATCAGTTACGTTCTTCACACCTTGAGCTAACTGTAAATTCATATTGACCTGAGATTTGTAGAATGTTTTTGCAGGAGACTTCTTTCTCTACTTAAATTGGTTTTTCTTTTCTAGGTAAGGTCTTGCTGTATAGCCTATGCTGGCATCAAATTGATAATCCTCCTACCTCAGCCTCTCAAGTGCTGGTGTTACCATCTTGGGGTTGAGGATGGTCACCACCTAGGGGTTGTGGTCAGGGTCATTTTCTCAGCCAGTTAGAGAATTAAAGGGCAGGAAAAGTCCGTGACATCAGAGACCAACAGGCTTTATTAAAAGACAAGAATTGTACCCACATAGAGGAAAAGACTCCCCATGTGGGCAGGGGTGTTGAAAACTGAAATCCAAGTCCCTCTGGGAGGGCCTGAGCTTTAAAAGGTGTTAGTGGGTTCCCTTCCTTAAATTTGGATGGTCAACTTAAAGAGAAGGCTGATGGATTTATGACTTCAAAGGGAGACATGTCCAGGTGGGGCCTTGGTCTTATCTGAACTGGTTGGACTGGATGACCCAAGGGAGCCCTGTTGGCTAGAGGGGAGCCCCCAGGCCTTTGTCTGTGACTAATAAGAAGGCCATCTTTATTCATAACAAGGGGCCCTTTCCCTGTCCCTCTACCTGTTCCCCAAATGCGGCTAGCCTCCCTGGGATTGCAGGTGTGTCCTACCAGACTCAGCTCCTTTTGTATAATTCTAAAGAAATAGTAACAAGCTGGTTTTGCTTTATTGTGGATAAAATGAATGAATGTTGATTTCTTTTTCTGCCATTTCTGACTCATTCACAGAAGGTTCCGTCACTTCTTGATTTCTTTTTAAAAATATTTTATTATTTCTTTTTATAAGATGGGAGTGCTTTATTTTATTTTATTTATTATTTTCATTTTATGTGTATGCATGTATTGCCTGCATGTAGGTAAGTGCACCTGTGTGGTGCAATGACCAAGGAGGTCAGAAGAGGCTGTTGGATTCCCTGGCACTGGAGTTACAGACAGTTGTTAGCTGCTATGTGGGTGCTGTGATTCAAACCCAGGTCTTCTGTAAGAACAACCAGTGTTCTTAACCGCTGAGCCATCTCTCCAGCTCCTTTATTTATTATTTTTATTTTATGTGTATGAGTGTATTGCCTACATGTACGTGAGTGCATCCGTGTCGTGCAATGCCACAGAGATCAGAAGAGAGCTTCGGATTCCCCTGGAACTGGAGTTAAGGACGGTTCATAGCTGCCAGTGGGTGCTGGGAATCGAACCCGGGTCCTCTGCAAGAGCAGTCAGTGCTCTTAATTGCTGGGCCATCTCTCTAACCCCCCCACCTTTTTTGAGTTGGAGTTACTGACTTTTCCTTCAGTGTCCTTTGAGGTTCTAGATGTACACAATAATATTGATTCTTGATGAGATAAATAAAACAAGCAAATCAAAGAATTGGCTTGGGGGTGGCTAGAGAGACGGCTCACAGATTAAGAGCACTAGCTGCTCTTGCAAAAGACCTGGGTTCAGTTCCCAGCACCCACATGGCAGCTAACTCCAGTTCCAAGGGATCCAATGCCCTTTTCTGACCTCCGTGGGTATTGCACTACACCCATGAATGTAAAATAAAATGAAAATAGTAAAATATTTTTTTTAAAAGAGCTACTTTGACATTACTCAGTTACGCATACTGGAGGTAATAATGTCCCTCTAAATGTGGTGCATCATAGAGTATTTGCTTCAGTGGTGAGACTTGTACATCATGCCATGCATGTTGTATGAGCAACACCATATTCAGTCATCTGTGCCAAACATGTATCTGCATCAGCCAAGTGCTTGGTCTGCAGTGCGTTCCACAAGGAGCCTGAGAGACATGGAAATACTGTAACGAGCATAGAGTCTGGTGGAGGACCCTCATATTGAGCAGATTCTTACACAGATGCTATCTAATTATGAACATAGTCAGTGGTAGGAGCAGATGATGGGGGCCACAGGACAAGCAATTCCATCCGACCTTGATGTCAGGGAAGAAAACAGTTTTGATTGGACAGAGCACTGTAATGTTCTGGCAATCCCTCATTCAGACCAAGTGTCAGTTCAGAGACTGCCCTGGAGGTAAATTTGAAAGTCGTCATCCAAGTCTATGATCATGGATGACTTCATGTAGAATGGAGAAGTCAGAGCCACCCACTCCAGATGTTGCAGCTCCCTCTGAACCAGCAGATGATGCCCAGGTGGTCTTGAGTCATTACCTTCTTTCCTTCAAGACTGTAAAAGCCACTGCTGTTAGTTTTATGTATCTCTTGCTTTTTCAAACCTCTATTCTGTTTTTACTCAAATTATTTCAGAAAGAGAATCTGTATCCAGCTGAATGAGAAAAATGCCTCTATTGAGAAAAAGTACATATAAATATTTGTGCATATTAATTTTATTTTCTTGGTGTGTGCTTTCTTGACATAATCTTGCTTCATAACCCATGCTGACCTTAAACCTGAGGTCTTCCTGCCTTTGCTTCCCCATTTCTGAGATTACAGGTGTGAACTATCAGGCTTCTCTAGGAAGAACTTCAAGATTATTTTTAATTATGTATATGCATGTTTGTATGGGGGTTTGTGCACATGACATTAGTTGCCCACAGAAGCCAGAAGAGGGCATAGAATCCCCAGAAGATGGAGTTACAAGCAGGTGTGAGCTGCAGAACATGGGTGCTGGGAACCAAACTCAGACCCTCTGCAGGAGCAGCATGTGCTCACAACAGCTGAGCCATCTCCAAGGGGAACTTTAAAAGTATTTGAGTATGGGCTAGGGAGATGTCTCTGTGAATGCAGTGCTTGCCATGCAAGTGTAAGGGCTGGAGTTTGGATCCCCAGAAATTATGCCAATGCCAGGTGGCCAGCTTATACAGCCTCAGAAGGCAGATACAGGGGTCCACAGCACAGGTTGTCTAGCTAGACCAACCTGTATCTCAGTTCTAAGTTTAATTGAGAGAGCTTAATGAATAAGGTGGAAAGTGATTGAGGAAGACTTCTGATGTCAACTTTGGTCCTCCACATGCACATATATGTGTACTCACATACACATGTGTACCCACACATGTAAGAACATGTATCACCCATAGCATAGTGAGTGCGGGAGAAGTGTTGAGGTGGAACCCAGGGCCTCCAGCCTGCCAGCTGAGTGCTCTACCATTAAGCCACACCCTCAGCTTAGAAACATTTCATCAAAAGGAGGTATTTTCTGCTCTGAGCAAGGTGGCGGGAGGTGGATTCTTGGCAAGCTCACCAAGAAGGCCTTATAACGTCAAGTTGACACTTTGGAGGTGCTTGTAAGTTTGTGCTATTACTAGATACCTGTTACAAGGCTAGCCTACTCTTTCTTTAGGGACATTTCCTAGTTTTGCCAGTAGGTATTCATGTGTAGGGCAGAAGTGAAAACGTACAAGTAAGTTTGATGACGCCAAAGCAAGTGATTCAATACCTGCGAGGTATCTGTGCTCATCTGCACAGCCTTTAGTTCACATGAGAATATGTTCCTAATTGCATTCATTTTAGGTAAAGCAAAGCACAGTCTACCAGTGACAACTCGCCTGTGTTCAAATGAATAGCGTTATACAAGGTTCGTGCACTCAGAACCACGCCCTTACCTTATGTCCCCGCAAATCTACTGCCCTGAGCTCGCCACTTGGTAAATGGCAACCACTGCTTCTCAGGCGCTGTGGCCAACCTTTTGGAGTCAGCCTTAGTGCTTGTCCTTTACTCCAACTCCACACTGACTTCATTAGCAAGACTTGTTGGTTCTACCATGGCAAAAATGCCCAGAATCTGGCTGTGTGTCTTTGCCTCCACTGTTGTGCCTTTGTTACTTATTTTGTTGTTATAAGCAAATACCTAAAAAAAGTGACTTAAAGGAGGCAGGATTTATTTTGGCCTATGGTTTAAGAGGATATAAAGTCCATCACTGCAAGGAAGGCGTGGTAGAGTTGATAGTGATGAGACCTTCTGTCTGGGGTGCCTCACATCTTGGCTGACCAGAAGGCACAGAGCTCAGACCACTTGCTGGGCTGAGCTATAACTTTCAGAGCCTCCCCCACCCAAGTGACCCATTTTCTCTAGGTAGGCCCTGCTTCCTAAAGGATATACCCTCCTCAAAC